AAAAAAAAAAAAAAAAAAAAAAAAAAAAAAAAAAAAAAAAAAAAAAAAAAAAAACCAAAAAAAAAAAACGAGGGATTATTGTTGTTTGTTTTGTTGTTGAAAACACAATTTTCTGAACTTCTTTTTTGCAAGGTTCAACAATTAAAATATGCAAACTTAAGTGCTGAAAAATGTGCCTCTACATACAAGGACAAACACATTGTGGGGGATGGGTGGGATGGTGAGTTTATCGACATAATATATAAAATGAGTATGACCCCCTTACCTGAGTTAGTTTTTTAAAATAATCCTTAAAAAATAATATCCCAAACTTCTGTTACTTAATATAATTCTTGTTTTGGAATGACCGACCTTAAAAAAAAAATAAATTAAGTCCACAGGGAGAGTGCTCAATCTTGGACAAAGCAATGAAATGAAGTAATTGAAAAACTGGATATTTTACTGACCTGTTTTGAAAATAAATGGGATAAATTTAATATGTTAATATGGTAAATTATGTTATCAATAATCATTATATATATATATATATATATATATATATATATATATATATATATATATATATATATATATATATATATATATATATATATATATATATATATATATATCTCTCTCTCTCTCTCTCTCTATATATATATATATATATATATATATATATATATATATATATATATATATATATACATATATAAATATGTATATATATACAAAAAAACAATGGCGTAACCGAATTTCAGGAGGCATCATAAGTGGGAGTCTTAACTGAATCTTCTCTCCTGAGAAATAAAACTCAGTTTAAAAAAGAATTTAAAGAAGATCACAAAAGAGCACATTATAAATTGAAACGAGTGACGTATCAAAGGCTTGTGTTACCCGGTGCGGTCCTCAAACCCACCCCCTAGCTACGCCACTGGTCACACACATACACACACACACACACACACACACACACACACACACACACACACACACACACACACACACACACACACACACACACACACACACACACACACACACACACACACACACACACACACAAACACACATTTATCATTGAAGCCATCAAACGCGTGTGAAAAGATTGAAGTCAGCCTCCCATAAAATTGCCACCGTAATCATTTCAAGCATCTGCACCGTTCATTGATGGTCAGCGTGCCATATCAAAGTATTCAGACGAAACACTGAACGTATTAACCAACTGTGACATTCATTTACACCCAAAAAAAAAAAAAAAAAACTTTAAAATTTTCACAGCTAGACATGTCTTCATTTTTATAAATTGGGAACCGTTTACGGTAACTGAATACGTAGCCCTAGTCTGTTTAGGCTTTGTATATATAATATGTATGTATGTATGTATGTGTATGTGTGTGTGTGTGTGTCTGTGTGTGTGTGTGTGTCTGTGTGTGTGTGTGTGTGTATAGAATAACTATAAATGACGTGTTGGTAGACGTTGTTTCGTGATAGCCACTATTTGCGTTCGCGTCAAATGTAACGAACCATCCCAGTTTGCCTCCGCGCTCCATACACTCCAAGCTAAACCTATCTCGTTTTATTACTTCTTTTAAATTAACAACCATTAAATAATTAATTGCAGAATGAATGTTTCCAGGTCCATTCGTCTCCATGAATGCGCATTAAAATAAATGACATGGTAAACTCGTGAAGACTTTGTTGATGATCATCTAAGCTGCGCATTTTCTCTCTCTCTTTTTCTCTCTCTCCCATCTCTCTCTATCTTCCACCTTTCTCACTCCCATCTCTCTCACCCTCTCTCCCTCTCCCATCTCTCTCTCTTTTCCATCTTTCTCTCTGCCATCTCTCTCTCTCTTCCATCTTTCTCTCTCCCAACTCTCTCTCTACCTCTCTCCCATCTCTCCCTCCCCTATCTCCCTCTCTCTTTCTCTCTCTCTCTCTCTGTCTCTCTCTCTCTATTGCATATAAGCATTAGCGCTCAACTGACCCAGTTCCACAATTTACCGCGAAGAGCTGATTACAAAATTTACAAGAAGATTTGCAAGATGATTTTTTTTTTTTGATGTCGTAAAAATTTTTTTCAACACAGAGACACTCGCTTCCATCAGAACAATAACATTCGTTCCGTTTTCCCTGCAGTTGTCCACGTGTGCAACACGCAGCTCCTTGGTCAATTCAATCTGTCCGTGAACAATAAACCGCCAACACATAGTAGTATATCAGATGCGAGTGGGATCTCTAACCACGCCGAGCCCCCTCCGGCTTTCATCTGTCACAAGACGGCGGGTTGAAATCACCAAAGATATTCAGTTCGTACAAGCAGGACAAGCTGACCACGACCAGGTAGGTGACCAGGCAGACGTAGCCGTAGCCCCTGGTGAGCTTCCACTTGTTGACGCCCATGGACGCCAGCAGGAACACGACGGTGGCCAGCAGAGTCAGTGAGGAGTACGTCAGGCCGCCGCTGGTGATCGAAACGCTGTCGCCGGACTTGATGGCGCACTCGATGAGCCAGGGGATGCCCAGGCACAGCAGGATGTCAAACACGTTACTGCCCAGGGAGTTGGACACGGCCATGTCGCCGTAACCTGGGCAAACACAAAATACATGATTTTTAGTCTTGACGTTACTCTGGCATGTGAGAGAGATGAAAAACATTACCTCATTCCTGATAGTATTATTTCCCATGACTCACCACTCATAAGGAAAAGAAAAAGTAGATTAAAAATAAGCTGGGGCGTACCTATAGCGTAATAGGCACCCGTGGCAGAGGGGTGAGAAAATTTTGTAATTTGGATTAGCCATTGCTAAATTTTGTGCCTTCTATTAAAGATTGTAGTGTAGGATTAGTAAGCCTGTTTAATGCACTTGCAAGTTGAATTCAAAGGACAGAAACGTTTACTGGGTGTATAATGTTCAAGTGTGTCATTTGCGCAGGACAAACTCTGTTGATACTTGTGAATAGCTATTGAATTGATAGAAATTCTGCTTTTGGCCCCCCTCCCCACATTAAATGGCACCCAGGGCATCCTCTCTACCTGGCAGACCATAGGTACGCCACTGATAATAAGTCAATACAGAAAGGGTAATTTTTGTTTTAAATTTACTTTCCATAGGTTGTTTTTTTATTTTACAATCCAGCACAATCCAAAGTACTTTTAATACCTATTTTTGCTCTGTTGAAACGTTGTCACTCCTGCGCGCTGCTTTTCTTGATAAACTTTTAAAGCTAAATGCATTTGATTTACTGATGGTTGTAAATAGATAGTTATACAAATATTAGCATTACAAATTATTGAAATGAGAATCCAGCTACTTTTTATATTGATACAGATGTAAAAATCCAATTTAATTCGGACTAAGCTGTGTTACAAAGTCTCATTCTTAAGGGTTTCGTGAACAAGAGATATAACAGAAAGTGAGCTGCTTTTTGTTTTTTTTTAAGGAGATATTTTAATTTTAGAATCGCTGTAAATTTGAAATTCTATAAATAAAACGTTGAGCGATAAAATTACATGGACAACTTGTATTCCCAGGCAGATTGGGGTGGGTGGTGGTGGTGGGGGTGGAAGCCTGACAGTTAACAACTAAAGGGGAATGACCTCACGCTTCAGCTCATCTGATCATGTTAAAGTGTTCGAGTCAATAGAAACAAAGTCCTGGTTGATAAAGAAGAGCCCATAAGATAGAGGGATCGATAGGCGGGGTTTGTTCCTTCCTCTGTGACACGTTTGACTAAATGACGTCTGAGACCAGAAGAGATTATCGGTACTCTTTGACCAGTCCCAAGTGAGTTAAAGAATTGAGACGCATCATTTTTCTATTCGACATTACATTAGTTTCTTTTGCATGGAATTCATGGGTAATAATCAACTGTTGATTACTTAGACGAGTCTTCTAAGAACTAAGCATGTCTTATAACTAAACGTGTCTTAAAACTAAGCCTGTATTAAAACTTAGCATGTTTAAAACTAAGCATGTCTTAAACTAAGCATTTCTTAAAACTAAGCCTGCATTTATATCTCTCACCATCCCTGGCCACGAAGACACTGGAAAGACAGTCTGGGACACTGGTCCCTGCAGCAAGCAGAGTCAAACCCATCACAGTGTCGGGGATGTCAAGGGCATCACCTTTAACAAATGGGAAAGTTAACCGATTGATTGGGAAATCTTCAGATGGGAAAGTTCATCAACTGATTGGGAAATGTCAAATCAAGGCAAAATATTCAGTTCAAGCGAACATTTAAAAGGACCTTTAAAAAAGTCTTCTACATAAAAAGTCTTCCAAGACTTAGGTCTTCACGATACACGTCGTTAAAACACATTCCTTCCCCATCTTTACGGGTTGTAAATAAGTTTCAAGATATATTTTCTACTTGTGATTTGCAGATATAGTTTGTGTAAATATGTAGATGAGAGTGAAGTGAGAAATGTACCCTAGACACAAGGGATGATGAAAGTGAAGAGTGACATGTACTCTAGACCTTGGGGATGTTGAGAGTGAAGTGAGACATGTATTCTAGACCCAGGGGATGTTGATGAGAGTGAAGTGAGACATGTACTCTATACCTTGGGGATATTGATGAGAGTGAAGTGAGACATGTAATCTAGACCCAAGGGATGATGAAAGTGAAGAATGACATGTACTCTAGACCTTGGGGATGTTGAGAGTGAAGTGCTACTGAGACATGTACTCCAGACCTTGGGGATGTTGATGAGAGTGAAGTGAGACATGCACTCTAGACCCAGGGGATGTTGATGAGAGTGAAGTGAAATATGAACTCCAGACCTTGACTGGGTCTTCTCTAGAGATCATATTTATCGTTAATAGCTAGGAATTTCCCATTCAATTAGTATCTGGCTGATCCACTTTTAATCCACTTAGCATACCTGCGATTGTCACCATCCAGACCATCAGATAAGTTGTAGCGCTGATCCAGGCCACTGACATGAAGAACGACAGTAGGTAGAGGCGGGACCATATACCCGGCCGCCGACTGTCTGGTATGGTCAGGAAAAAGACAGCCTTGATTGGACACACGATGACCCACAGCACCTTCATGAGCTTGCCATCTGGTATGGTCCAAACGGACTCGTACTCTGATACCGTCACTGTTGGACAAATGAGGCCAAAAAAAAACAAAAAAAAAACAAACTTTAACAATTTTAGTTTTGAGCTTATTATGAATAAACAAATAGAAGTGTTTGAATATTGGACGCATGTGAAAGGGATTTTTTTTGCTTGGAATTTTATTCAAATTGAAAGTGTTTTTTCCGGTTAATTATACATAATATTTAAGCTTCGGGGGGGGGGGGGGGCACTTTTTTATTATAAAAAAATAAAATTAATTTTTGTTGCAAACAGAGCTGTTTACAAGGCCTTTAGTGTGTCATAAAACGTAACGTTCCATATGGGAAGAATTAATCCCAAATAAGATATCCATTTGAGATAAAATCCTAATAAACGACATCCATGTGTCCAAAAATGGAAACTTTCATGGTAAATGAATCGTTTACAACTTGTTTGAGTAAATATATTTTAAAACATTGTGTCGATTATTTTTTGCCGGCGATTACTTTATTGAATGGCGATAAAATCTTTATACAAAGCGTTCATTCCCCCAGAAATGACTTTGCACTCAATCGATCGATTACTTTTATTTGGGGTTTTAATTCCAGCAGAGCGATTCTTGAGGCAGATGTGAGCTGGTTTAGAAACAGTATTTCAGGGTCTATTTTCTACGTCACAATTCAACTGAATTACTCTGCAAATAAAGGCGGCGATTTAATGGAGGGCTTTAAATGGAACCGCTTTGTTGGTGAATAGAGAGAATGACGTCGTACTCAGCTCCCCGTTTTTGGATGATGACGTCGATGGCGTGGCTGGTTCCAATCTGTCCACTATGGAGGTCTCCTGCTCCTCTGACAAAGACTGGCCAACGCCGTGCAAGGACTTTTCATAATCATGGGACATCGTCATGGAGGCATTGCTGATGCGGCTGAAATAAAGAATCTGAAACTAAGTATATAAAAGACAGCTCTAATAATATTGTATTCTAAAAAAAAAAAAATTCAAATTCATGGATTTTGATAATGTTCAAAATAATCATTTAAAAACCTAATAAAGCATCCCTTTGTTGTTAGGTAGCTTATGTTTACCTTCATTTCAGTAGATCAAAATGGTAAGTTGTTATGCTTACTATTTATTGTTGGAATGTGACATTTGAATGTTAGCTGTCGATGCTCTATAACATTTATGACAATAATGTCATACCTGGATGAAGTTTAATTTACGGATGGTATTTTTATAATCAGAATAGTGAACGTACTCAATCGTTAGCACACAGAGCCGTTCTTAGGAGTTTGGGGACCCCAAGCATGGAGCGTAGGTTTGGGGCCCCGGAAGGGGGGGTGTCCGGGGGTGGAGCTCCCTCGAGCTGAGGAGAGAACACCCCTTACGGGGGCCCTGTCACGTTCGGGGCCCTACGCGGATGCGTACTCAGCGTATTCCTAAGAACGGGCCTGTAGCACACTTGAAAGAGAAAAAATCTTGTTCATTTCATTTAGTTGGTGTAATTTTGTTCGACTTAGTACTACTCACAATCACCAGGAAAATTTAGAAAAAATAAATATTAAAAAAAAACACCAAAACACAAAACCAATTCGGAATAAAGCGATAGCATAAATCAACCAAAAGAAAAATCACTGTATAGCAAAGTTTAAGTTGATTGGCTTCACCTTTATTTTTTACCAACGCTCTATACTCTATGATGACGATGTTGGTGTGAGGACATAAAAAGAGACACCCGAAAGACGTCAAAGGTAAACAATGTGTGCCAGTCAGACATGTTTGAAATGTGAAAGCTGAGGGAATGTAATGCGTGCACATCAAGAAGTAAGTGTAAGGTGCATAACGCCATGCCTAGGTATACATTAGAAATATAATTGGTGCATCTGATTATTTGTTGTTGTAAAAGTCGACTTAAACTGTCGCAATGTCAGAGATTTCGGACCTGTCTGAATCAACTTTTTGGTTGTTATTTTTTTTTATTTTTTTTTTTGGTTTTAATTGGGAAAAACAAAAATGACATTAAATTAACTTAATCATTTTACCACAATGAAGGTCGAAAAGTTTTTAACAAAATCTACTTTCAATCTACAAGAAATCTGGTTAATTTTTTTTTCTGTCGTGGTTATTAATGGATGTTATCTTATTATAATTTCATTACGACATTCATTGAGCTCGGGTCAAAAAGCAAGCGAGATAATGTGTGAGTGGAAATATTTTAATGATATAATCAATCCTTAATTTAGAAATGTTCAAACTAAAATGACGAACGGAATCTTTAACCGATGTTACGTGAAGATTGTTGTATTTTCAGATCATTTGTTTAGACAGTCGATGAACTATTTTATGAAATAAGGGGCGTGATGAAACCACAAAGCGCTCCATTGTGCACAAAATATTCACAAGTTTTGCGTGGTGATAAGTTATTATCCTGGATTGCAAAATAATGTAATTTTGTGAAAACAAAAAAGAACACAAATAAAGCGTTGTGTGAGAAGCTGGTCAGGTCTACCTATCGCCATTCTCAAAACTTCTGTATCCATTAGTTAGTGGTATGCTGTCAACGACCTTCTCACCACTAGGACTGAAATAAAGTTCAGGAGCTCAGCTCATCAAGTATCAAATCGATTTTTAAAAACAAATCCTACAATGTGTCACGTTACATTTATCTACTTTACAAAAAAAAAATAATAAATAATAATAATAATAAATAAATAACAACAAAAAAACAAAAACAAAAGGAAGCCTTTCGTATTTTACCTGTGAGCGCGAGCTCGTTGCATCTCCTCTGGAATGATATGATCCTCTGGTGATTTGTTCATCAACGGCTGGCGCTCCAGCCTGGACAGCAGTTTGCTGACCCATGCTTTGGATTTAGCCTCGAGGAAGCGGTTAAAATACATGATAGATATATAAACTATGTACAGAATGACCATGAGAAGGGCCTCGTACCTAAGGAAAGAGAAGTGTTTTGACATTACGGGGTTGTCCATAGGACACAATATTTTAAAAAAACAACAGCTGATGATACATAGATATTGAGAAGTAAATCAGGCGGTAGAGAAATGATGCCCCTTTGAGCTAAGCCCAGTGTCTGGAAATTTTATTTCGACAGAGTAACGAAATAAACACAAAAAAGTTGACCTAACAAGTCAAATGCAATTTGAGTCATACAATTATTTTTCTTTATTACATTTTTAAAAATATATAATCTCTCTTTTAATTGTTTTTAAATTTTTTTTTTTTTTAAACTTTGGGTCTGAAACCAATGTTTGGTTTTAAATTCTGTTTTTGCCTTCTTGACTCAGTGCTAAAGCACTTGAAGGATGCATTTTTAAATCTACTTCATAAGTAAATCCATTTTTTAAATGTTGATGTTCCGATACCAGTTTTTAACCGTACTTGAAAACAAAATACAGAATGACCATATAGTTTTTTTTTTCGTTTTTCTCTTTTTTTTCTTTCTTTTTGTGTGGGTGTAATGATTGAATTTATGTTACATCTACGCCATCATCAGTGTGTTGATTTTTTTGCGGTGGTATTAGCAAAACGTATAGATAATCAGGCAAATTATTGATTTAAAAAAATATGACCACAATTCATGGCTTCACGTTATCCCATTTAAGTTATTGTTTGATAGCTTTAATGAAGGTGTTAATGTTAGCCACTTTAGCTGATCTTGTAAGTTGAATGTAGTATATATACGACCATTTGACTGTAGATCATATTACATGGATACAACTGAGTTCTAACTAAAGAACGCAGCGTCCTAACCAGGTCACAATAATACAACCATTCATTTAGATCAAAACTGAGTTCTCAGTACAAAAAAAAAAAAAAAAAAAAAAAAAAAAAAGTTCTAACTAAAGAACGCAGCGTCCTAACCAGGTCAAAATAATACAACCATTCATTTAAATCAAAACTGAGTTCCCAGTAAAAAAAAAAAAAAAAAAATAAAACAATAACCAGGTGTCGTAATACATGGAACTGACCAATCAACTGTTTGGTCCCTGATGATGAGAAACAAAGTGAGCACAGAGAGCAGGTAGAAGATGGTGTCTCTGACCAGTGGATACCACGTCAACTCGACAACCTATGAAGAGAAGTGATGTTAAACTTAGTTGGCTCGTTTATATGTCAGGGTCTTTGACTTAGTTTATATGTCAGGGTCTTTGACTTAGTTTATATGTCAGGGTCTTTGATTTAGTTTATATGTCAGGGTCTTTGATTTAGTTTACATTTTAAATGCAGTACAGTAATCGTGAAAGGCAACATTGAACAACATAGCTTACCATTCCCGCGAATACTCCACATACACCTATGATAAATAGAATGTTGAAGACAGCTGAACCCACAATGGTTCCGACACCGACATCGCTTTCCGCAAAAAATACACCTAAGGAGATCAACGTTAAATTTCCTAATATGTTGCTATGACGAAACATGGGGAGATCATAGCAATTTAAAAAAAAAAAAAAAAAAAAAAAAAATTTCAAAAAGGGATATATCCAGAAAACAGTACTTTTCAAATTCAAGCCAATGACCCACTCTGATCACATCAATGAGTTGGAGGTTTTTCGTGGGGTTTTTGCAGCGGGGTGGGGTGTGTGAAGAGAACTTATTCATCTGCTATCCATTTCAACTGAATGCAATGAAGATGGTTATCGTAAGAGCGCCGTATCTTACTTCAACAAATATATCTTAAACACGGTGGCTGGTCAATAGAAATAGCTTCTGATCTTGACATTCTCTCTTCTATCTCTCTCCTGTCTCTCTTCTCTCTCTCCCCCCCTCTCTCTCTATCTATCTCTTTTCTCTATCTCTCCTCGCTCCCCTCCTCTCCATGTCCTCTCTCTCCCCTCCCTTATCTCTCTCCTTGCTCACTCTCCACTATCGCCCCTCGCTCACTCTTCTCTTCTCTCCTCTCCTCTCCTCTCCTCTCCTCTCCTCTCCTCTCTCTCTCTCTCTCTCTCTCTCTCTCTGTCTCTTTCATAAAATAACGATCACATTTTAATTCAAACAATCTTAGCTGTTAATGAAACCAGGAAGTTCCGTTAGGTTAGGACATGCGCACTAGGCATTACGCTTAGGTCAAAAACAAGGAAGTCATGAACGTCAACTACACGCTTAAAACAACATCTTAACGTCTTGTGGTGATCAAAAGATTCAACTGTTGTGATCAGTAAGACATGTCAACAAAAAGACAAGTCTCAGTTTACGACAGACTCTTTAGAACAAAAACAAACGTGTGTGAATAAATGATAGAGCATATAATATAGGTCGATAGAAGAAGCCGATATGAATAAGTTAGGAGCAGGGATAGTCTGAAATCTATATGAGTTTGGAAACATCTTAAATGGAATTTTAATTTTGCAAAATGAATCTTATTTGTTTAAAGACATATTGACCGATATTTTATAATTTTGAACATATTTACAGATATAATACAATTTAGAACAAATTTAAAGATATATTATAATTTAAAATCTATTTACAGATATATTACAATTTAGAACATATTTACAGATTATATTATAATTTAGAACATATTTACAGATATATTATAATTTAGAACATATTTACAGATATATTATAATTTAGAACATATTTTTACTGGAGACGAAATGATTTAACGATTCTGCGGCGAGTCGGAGACAAATCTCGTTTAATATCTGTCAGCGCTGTTGGGAAACGGAATGAGATCCTAGTTGAAAAGCTCCAGAATATTTTGATCGTTTTTTAAATGTTAAATTTAACCGGATGTTGACAAACGATTCTGGTACGAGATACCTGAAACTATTTGCCTCCTATCGTTTAGAGAACTTTAGAAGAGAGAGAGAGAGAGAGAGACACACACACAAAAGAGCAGAGGAGAAAATGTTAACACATGATTTGCAATTATTTAATATAGAAGAGATATTGAAAAAAAATAAAGATGTAGAGAGTAAGACAGAGAGATTGAGAGAGAATATAGGTGGAAATATATGTGAGTGTGTGTGTGAGAGAGAGAGAGAGATAGATCAAAAGACCGAAATAGATACAGACCTAGTGTTTATAATGGAACATTTATGGCATACACACCACAATAGGTTGCTTGAGGCGGATTTATAAGAACATACATATCGTCATGCTTATTCCCTAGGCTAAGGCGTGTTTCTAAGAGTTCACTACAGCGACCACCGTTGTCGAGCACAGCCTTGCTGTAGAGATCAAGCATTGCTTCCCGTGACTAAGGCGTCTTTCTAAGAGTTCACTACAGCGACCACCGTTGTCGAGCACAGCCTTGCTGTAGAGATTAAGCATTGCTTCCCGTGACTAAGGCGTGTTTCTAATAGTTCACTACAGCGACCACCGTTGTCGAGCACAGCGTTGCTGTAGAGATCAAGCATTGCTTCCCGTGGCTAAGGCATGTTTCTAATAGTTCACTACAGCGACCACCGTTGTCGAGCACAGCATTGCTGTAGAGATCAAGCATTTCTGCCCTAGACTAAGGATGGTTTCTAAGAGTTCACTACAGCGACCACCGTTGTCGAGCACAGCATTGCTGTAGAGATCAAGCATTTCTGCCCTAGACTAAGGATGGTTTCTAAGAGTTCACTACAGCGACCACCGTTGTCGCGCACAGCATTGCTGTAGAGATCAAGCTTCAAGCCATTAATCATCAAACTTCGATTAATAAAAAAACCCGCTGCTCAAATGTTTGCTCAAGTTCCTAAAAGCCAGATGTCAGTGTGAATAATTCATCACAAGATTTCACCGAGTACAAGAACTGTAATCAGGTCGGAGGAAACATCGAGGAGCTATGAAAAAATAGATCCTTTTCCTAGTTATAAGACTTGGGGTACGCACGTCAGCGTTGTTGTTACTGTGAAACGTGAACTAATTTACCGGTGTTTTTTGTTTTTTGTTTCTGAATGAGACACGATGGCAGCCCATAGCCCCACAAGAATTTTTTCGGAATTACTAGTTGATGTACCCGGCGCTGCCCAGGATTACAACTGGAACACTATCTGCACACTTTTCGCCAGTATCAAAATTAAGGGCCCTATTTAAGAAAAGTTAGCTAAATTTGAAAAAAAATTAAATTTTAAATATTATCCTATGAAAAGCACAGTTATTTTATCTTTTTGCAAACATTCTGTGGTCATACCCGTTTACTTTAATAGTTAAGCTAGGCCTAGTAAGATGTTACGATTGAAAGACTAACACTTATAAGCTGTGCCATTTAACAAATTGTTCACAAATTTCAAAGCTGTAGCCGTATATCACTAACATAAAATATGACCCCAAAGAGATCCCGTTCCTCGTTGGGATCTCTTTCCCCGTTAAGATTTCATATTCCTCATTGGGATACTTTTCCCCACATGGCTCTCTTTTCCAGGTGGGATTCGATCTCTGATGGGATCCCGTTCCAAGGTGGGATCACACTCCCTGGTGGGATCTTGTTCTCCGGATCCCCCGGTTCCATTAGTTACACTTTAAGTTATCCTTACCATATTAGATCGATCAATAAACGTAGAAGCATGTGTTGTACTTGAGATTCCAACTTCATTTATGTATATAGCTTAGGGGAAAATTGATCTGGAACTTTCTGGAAAGTTTCCAAATTATCTTTGAATTTTCTTCCATATCATTCGAGAAAAGTTATTGCAAATTATTGAAACATTTGAGACTCAATAAGGGCATTTATATAACCTTAAATTGGTTTTAGAAAAATTATAGCTTTCTAGAATATCTAGAAACGTCAAGAAAAATATTAAAAAAAAACTCAGCGATATTTAGAAAATTCTCAGGAAGAAATATAAATCTATCCAAGGAAACAAACATTTCCATAAGCTTATTGATCCCACTATATAATCACCGTGGGGAATCACAGAACTTTCTGGAAAAATACAGGTTTTATTCATTTCTCAACACCCCCCACCTCCCCCCCCCCTCGAATTTATTTTACAAAAATGAATTTTTCTTAATCCTTTTTCAGAAACAATAAAACCGTTAGGGACCCATTCCAAAATATATGCCATTTTAGCTAAGCCTTGAAAAGGGGACCATATTAAAAATTAGAGAATTAAGGATTACAATGTAAAAGTTTCCCATTAAACATGGTTTTAAAATTCAGAAGATCTGGCTTTTTAGTCATTGGATGGATGATAGGATTAAAAGCGTTCTAACTCGCTAGTGTTCTGATTCTCTGCACCGGTCACAACGTAAAAAAACAAAAAAAAAAAAAAAAAAAAAAAAAAAAAAAAAAAAAAAAAAAAAAAAAAAAAAAAAAAAAAAAAAAAAAAACAAACAAACAAACAACAACAAAATACAACAAAAACAACACTAAAGACAAATTATTTTATTTGAACACTGAGGACACACAAACTTATCTTGTGACAGTCGCTACGCGCAACGTGGTTATTAAAGGGCATCCATTCTTAAGACTATGAGTTAAGGGGGTGTAAAGGGAAACTCGATTATGCTCCACGATTCTGTTATCATTTAAAAGTGGTGAAGGTATCATGCTTCATTTTTGTATACAGATCACAACAATCTCCACTGGGGGAAAAAGGGAAAGGACAGGGGGGTTGATGTTTCAAATAATGGGTTAAGTGTAGGCCTATGATATCATAAATATATAGCTAGCCCATTGTACAAGCATCTCATGAGTTGGGGAGTGCTTCATGCCAAAATCTAGTTGAAATGTTTCACGATGCCTTGGTTTGTACGGGTGGACAATCCAGAAGTAGAGCATCAATATCCTATGTTATAGAACTAGATTTCTGTAGAGCATCAATATCCTATGTTATAGAACTAGATTTCTGTAGAGCGTCAATATCCTATTTTATAGAACCAGATTTCTGTAGAGCATCAATATCCTTTGTTATAGAACCAGATTTCTGTAGAGCATCAATATCCTTTGTTATAGAACTAAATTTCTGTAGAGCATCAATATCCTATTTTATAGAACTAGATTTCTGTAAAGCAGTGATTCTCAACATTCCTAATGCCGCGACCCTTTGATACAATTCCTCATGTTGTGGCGACCCCCAGCCACACAATTATGTTCGTTGCTACCTCAAAACTGTACAGTATATGTGTTTTCCGATGGTCTTAGGCGACCCTTGGGAAATTGTCGTTCGACCCCGAAAGGGGTCGCGAGCCACAGGTTGAGAACCGCTGCTGTAGAGCATCAATATCCTCTATTATAGAACTAGATTTCTGTAGAGCATCAATATCCTATTTTATTGAACTAGATTTCTGTAGAGCATCAATATCCTATTTTATTGAACTAGATTTCTGTAGATCATCAATGTCCTATTTTATTGAAATAGATTTCTGTAGAGCATCAATATACTATTTTTTTGAACTAGATTTTTGTAGAGCATCAATATCCTGTTATAGAACTAGATTTCTGTAGAACATCAATATCCTATTTTATTGAACTAGATTTCTGTAGAGCATCAATATCCTATTTTATTGAACTAGATTTCTGTAGATCATCAATGTCCTATTTTATTGAAATAGATTTCTGTAGAGCATCAATATCCTATTTTATTGAACTAGATTTCTGTAGAGCATCAATATCCTATTTTATTGAAATAGATTTTTGTAGAGCATCAATATCCTATGTTATAGAACTAGATTTCTGAGGAGCATCAATATCCTAAGTTACTGAAGGTATGCGTGTTCACGCGTTGTTCGTATAGTACATAAGTGTCGGAGTGCTTTACAAGTGTTGGTGGGAACATCATGTCAAGAGAGTAAGAGGAAACAGTGGATTATGTTTTCATTAGAACAACACCATTTGACGGATAAATCTCATTGAGAAACATTGCGCGCTATTGATAATTCCCTCAATAAGTAAAGGAGTCACGAGAATAGAGTTTAAAATCTTGAGCCAGACTCAAGGTCATATTTGAAATCAAAGTGTACTGGCATAAAAATATTTTTGGACCCAAATTAAATAAATAATTTTAACAATAGCTAGATTTATCTGTAGGGATCTGATACCCTCGCTGAGTAGCCCTTGCAACCAGTGAAGTATCCTCTACAATACCAAACAGAAACATCGCAAATCCCCTCTTCATAAATAGGAGCAAGAATGATCAATACATTGATCGTGGGCCTTTAAGATATAGAAGAAGAATAAGATACCATAACAAAGTATATGAACTTACCTACTACTGACGTCATGAATTCAGGGGCGGAGCTTCCTGCAGCCATGAAGGTGGCGCCAGCCACATCCGCCTGGAGGCCGAGATCTAAATGAGGAGCGATGAAAGACAATACATTTGTGGTAGTCGTTCACAGCTAATTACACACTCAGAGCCAGGACGGAATCTTTTACTATAAATATTTAAGCTCCTGGATTAGTTTGTTCCGATGCGCCTTCTGCCCTTTGGGTAAATATTTGTAAATTCCGTTGGTTAGCTAAGCACGGCACCAGAGCACACAGCTTAGCTTAATCACCTGGATGAGTTTCAGGTACGCCGATGGCGAAGTCAACAGTTTTATTTATTTAGTAAATTAATTTTTTTTTATTTTTTACGCCTATACCATAAACATGATTGAATTAAAATAATGATCTAGCTTGAATGTGCATAAATATTTCTTTGATTTGACTTTATTGATTATGGAGTCTTCTACCTAAGAATCGAAAGAAAATTTACAGGCATGAGTTTTTAGTTTAGCTTGTAGGAGGCATGGGTCTGGTGTCATCAAACAAATGAATGCAGCATAATAGATTATCTCTCTAAAGTAAAACTTTAAAACGTTTTCATTTAGAGGAGAATGTACGTCTCTTACAAATATGTGTATGGTGCATTGGTCATACCTATAATATAACTCTATATTTTACTTGTTGTACCAATACAACATATCTACCACTTTCTTTTGTCTATGAAAAGCTTGAGTCCTCTTCGCTATACATGAACATCATGTCCTGTAACCAGGACAAAGGATTCAACTTTCAAAATCATTTTTTTTTCTAAGGCCACCATCTTGGTTGTCATGACCCGTGACATTCCACGGGTCATGGCAACCAAGATGGCGACCATGTGAAACGTCATGGCGCGGGTAGTCCAAATTTACCACATAAACTTCGTGTCCTGTATCCAGGAGAAAGGATTCAACATTATTATTGGATTCCCCCCCCCCCCGAAATTAATTTAAAGGTGTTTAGTTTACTCGCATACAAAACAGCAAGACTTAGGCCACCACATACAAACACGTATGCCAAAATGCGTAGACTGCTGAAGGATTCCTAGCCAATAGCACCCAGTCTTATTTTTCCAACAAAGTCTGGACACATAAAAAAAATGNTTTTTTTTTTTTTATTTATTTTTTTTTTCTTTTAATAAAAAAAAAAAAAAATGAAAAAATGGAAAAAAAAAAAAAAAAAAAAAAAACCAACTCAAAACTAACATAAGACAACTCGGTAACTGTCATTAAATAACTAGGATCACCTTCACATATATGTTCCAGGGACGGCACGAAGTAGTCGTCACAAACCACCGCCAGGGCGGCAAACATGTAGAGGGCAATGACGATGTGTATGACAACTCCGCCATTTCGTGTGTCCTCCAGGGAGATAAAGTTGGCGGGAAAGTTATTCACGGATCGTGGCGTGCAGTTTGCTGTACTGTTGCTGTGATCGTCTGTTGGCGAAAAGAAAAAAAACCCCACGAAATTAAATAATCAAAAAAAAATAATTTATTTTTCGTTTTAGACATTCATATTTAGTGGACCAACGTATGAATCATGTGGACCAGCAGGGCTCCACGGACATGCCGTTGGAAAAATGGTATTAATTCAGTCAGTTCATCAATAGCTGCATGGCCCGCCAATGAAAAAAATGGTCTTAATTCAGTCAGTACATCACTAGCTGGATGGCTCCCATTAAAAAGTGGTCTTATTTCAGTCAGTAGATCACTAACTGGATTGGCGCCCAAAGTGGCCTAAATTTAGTCAGAAGATCGCTTGCTGGATGGCTCCCAAAGTGGCCTGAATTCAGTCAGTAGATAACTAGCTGGATGGCTCCCATTAAAAAATTGGTCTTAATTCTGTCAGTAGATCACTAGCTAGATGGCTCCCAATGTGGCCTTAATTTAGCCAGTAGATCACTAGCTGGATGGCACCAATTAAAAAAGTGGTCTTAATTCTGTCCTTAGATCACTAGCTGGATGGCCTCCATTAAAAAGTAGTCTTAATTCAGTCAGTAGATCACTAGCTGGGTGGCCTCCATTAAAAAGTGGTCTTAATTCAGTCAGTAGATCAATAGCTGGGTGGCTCCCATTAAAAATGGTCTTAATTCTGTCAGTAGATCACTAGCTGGGTGGCTCCCATTAAAAAAATGGTCTTAATTCTGTCAGTAGATCATTAGCTGGATGGCACCAATTAAAAAAAGTGGTCTTAATTCTGTCAGTAGATCACTAGCTGGATGGCCTCCATTAAAAAGTAGTCTTAATTCAGTCAGTAGATCACTAGCTGGGTGGCTCCCATTAAAAATGGTCTTAATTCTGTCAGTAGATCACTATCTGGGTGGCTCCCATTAAAAAAATGGTCTTAATTCTGTCAGAAGATCACTAGCTGGATGGCACCAATTAAAAAAAGTGGTCTTAATTCTGTCAGTAGATCACTAGCTGGATGGCCTCCATTAAAAAGTAATCTTAATTCAGTCAGTAGATCACTAGCTGGATGGCTCCCATTAAAAAAAATGGTCTTAGTTCTGTCAGTAGATAACTAGCTGGGTGGCTCCTAAAGTGGTCTTAATTCAGTCAGTAGATCTCTAGCTCGGTGGCTCCCTTTAAAAAAAAATGGTCTTAATTCAGTCAGTAGATCACTAGCTGGATGGCTCCCATTTAAAAAAAGTGGTCTTAATTCAGTCAGTAGATCACTAGCTGGGTGTCCTATTAAAAAAAATATTATTCATAATTCAAACTTCAATTAAAATTTAGATAGTAATAATGAAATATGTTTGAATACATGAAAAATACGCACACACACAACTAGCTACACACAAACATATTCTGTTGTCATCGCATACATCCTGCTTTGTCTTGGTTCTATTTTTCCTGTTTGTATTTCTAGCACCCCGTAGCAATAGTTTTCACGTGAAAAGATCAGACTCTCGTTTTTTACTTCCATTTAACACATTCATTACCTGAGCTTAATGCTCACCTACTCTGCTACCGTTGCTGTGACATGTCAGTATAACAAGAGTAAACATTTATTTGTAGAAGATAAGCAGAGAACTTGCACAAATTAGTGCGTTTTTATATCAATTTATATTTATCATATTTATAAATAATTTTAAATTTATATATTTATGTTATATTTAATTTTTTTTTAATTAATAAAGTAAGGAATGGAAGGATACAGACGGCTAACAGACGCCTATAAACATGAAATTTTCGTACAGTCTTCATTCCGATATCTTCATTATCAACATCTCTTCACGCATTTCCTCGTGTATTTCTCTTCGCGTTCTTCCCATAACCTCTAATTACTCCGTTACTTCATTGATTTACAAAACCAAGACCTCTACATCAATAAATATTTAAAAAAAATATTTCTAATGCTTCACACTTTTTTAAAGTAGATAATAACATATGTCAATTCACAGGTTGTCCTGTCATGACATGACATTGTCACATCTCCCTTTAAATCTGGAGGGAAAAAAAAATTAATACTAAAAAGTCGAATTTATTTGTCATGAACAGAACAGTCTGAGCAAATAAATGGTTGCAAAGATGTTGTACAAACAGCCCCGCCTTAATACCCCCACCCCCACCCCACCCATCCCCACATCTTAAGCCAAACTGTTACCGCACCGTTATCCAGTACAAACATGCCAACAATTAAGTTAGCAGACCCGGACACATTGATTCTGGCAGCTAGATATCCTGGGACTCCGTGAACTTTGCCTGCACCGCGGGGAACACCCCCCCCCCCGGCTCTCAACCCCACCCCGTCATGCCGTCACTGCTCAGACACCTGATGAGATAAAAGCCTCTTAGGACTTGTGATCTGTCTTTTGTGATTCTGTTCGGTGCCCAGAGGGCACTTCTCCAGCCCGCGACAGATACTTAAGTCGAAACGCAAGATGTGCCCTTCTCCAGCCAGACTTCACACGTTTAGACAGTGGTTATCGGATTATTGGCAAAGGCACATCTGGCCATCACTCTCTAATGTTTTGTTTCGGATTGTTAAGATTGTCTTTATTCATGTCTTTTCAGACGCTTGCGCCATCTTGACATCGTGTCTTTTATAGTTTAATTTTAAAACAAGTTACATTAAAAAAGGAATAGTTTTTGTTTAAAGCACACATTTAATGTAAACTATTATTCGATAATGAATCAACAAATGGATCTTTTTGAAAAAACTTTAAAAAAATTATTGTTTGCATGGCGCAAGGAACACATTCTCCTCCGGCCATAACTACTGAGGGACATAATCTCTCAGTAAAATTCACACACCTTGGGTCCAATATCTCTAGCTTACTCTCCTCTGAGGAAGAGTTGGAAATCAGGATAGTAAAAGTAGCAGCATTTCTGGCTAAATTGAATACGCCAATCGGAAACTAACTGGAAACACAACACCAAGTGTCTATCGGGCAAGTGTGTCAAGTTAGATCCGAAAACGCAGTGAAGTATAGACCACATATCATGCTGCCATGAGCGGAAACTCAAAGGCTTCCGCCAAAGACGTCTGCGTCGCATTTTGCGACTTCGATGGTACGACAACGAGCCTAACAAAGAGGTTTTGGATCGAGACAAAATGTGTTGCATGTTCACTGCTCTTCACTGATTAGAGGAGAATGGAGGAAGGCAATGTTTCAAATGTTTCCAGGATCGGACGCCCATGCCATTTCAAGAAGTGTCAATAGCTACTCCATCGTCTCACGAAGACGGAAGGATGCCATCAATCTACACAATTCTCTGTAACGATGACACTAACGCTACCAGATGGTGCTGATTTCACGATATAAAATTCCCGATATCTGCGCTAAATGGGATTCTTAAAAAGACCGCAGGTGCATTTGGTGCGTAATATTTTCTTTTTGTTCTACGGAGATAGCCGGTGTGATAAATGTACGGTGTCAAAGGGGGCGGGACATTAGTCTGTTAATATAGTTCAGTGACGGTGGCGCACTTGGGGTGGGGGGAGCACTAATTGGGAATCTTGTTAAGTTGTGTTACTTGAATGTTTGTTTTGTCAGGCTACTGTAATAGATGGGAAATTCACGCATTTGCGGCTGC